ATGTTTATCATCCCATCTGACTTCTTCCCAGGGTGATTTCAATCATCCATGCCACTCCCTTCTTATTGCTCCTTATTGACTGGCACAACCTTGGTTTCCTCAACTCCAAACTACCCTTCTGTTGTCTCTTCCTCTCATCCTATCCCTTCTATGTCAACCTCAGTCACTGGTCCTTCATCTTGCCCTTCCTACCCTCCATCTTCCCATCTGGCACTTATCAGGCCTCTAGCAAGGAGATCCAGATTGTCTAGGCATATTACTTCCTTTTTTAGCATTGTCCATTTACCCTTCCTTTTTTGAGGTTTATCAACTTAAATGGAACATTTTCTGCTGTTGGTCTTTGAGTTGGGGTTTTTCCCCATCTCCGTCTACTGTTCCTCTTCTTATGGATTTCCTCACATGGCTGTTCAATCATAGTAATTCTGTCTTCCATAAGTGGTTATCAAGCAGCCTTATCTCACACCTTCCATTTTCCATGGTATTTTCCTCTCCTACCCTCTCCATTTTGTTGTGTTCCTTCCAGATTTGTAGACCTCTTAGTCTAGTGGTCCTTCTAGGTTATTTGTCATTATTGTTCTTCATTGCCTTACTCTAACCTTGTTTGAACCTTTGTCCTTGACACTTTCCAGTTCCAAGCTGCCGAGCATTGGAACATGGAGGAGTCCTCCTGAATGTGATTGCTTTCATTCAGTTGAGAGTAGGGCAGTAAGGTTCTGTTGGTGTAGAAGATGTTGAATCCTCCAATCACACACTATACCTTCATGCAATGGGCCCCGGAGGGTGAGGTTGCTTATATTTTGAAGATGTGATCCACTTCTATGTTGTGGAACCAGAGGGTTGTGTTGTGCTCCAACTTCCATACAGTCCTATTCAAGGGATAATGTTGCACATATTTACAAATAAATATGTTCCACCTCTGTGCTGTGGGTCCTGGAGGGTGAGATTGTCTATATTTTATAAACGTGATCCACTTCCATGCAGATGGACCTGGAGGTTGCAATTGCAATCCAGCCTTCTTGTGGCCCTATGTTGCTTGGGAGTAGATCTGTCACATTGCAGTTCACCCCTTCAATAGGGATCCATCACCCTACTATCACCCTGATGTCAGTTCCCAGTAAGTGGTTTTGGATTAGAGATGGGCTAGTCAACATAAATCCTCACATGTTTTGGTTGTGTTTCATCTTCCTCACTGAATTTGCCTCCACCTCTGTACAGTAGGATCCACTTTCATGCAGTGGGACTCCTATCAGGAGGATATTGTTGATTGGAGCAATGGTTCTCCCTCTTATACTACACCTAAGGTAGTTTTCACTTTCTGAGGCAGATGTTGTGCAGTGGGGTTCCAGTCTGATTGGGTTTGAGATTGATATGACCTGCCACATCTTTTCCTACCATCAATCGGATGTTGGGTTAATGGATGTATGGTTGGTTGTGGATTTGCCCACATGTACCCATTTCATAGATCAGTTTGCACAGTTTATACTTCCATTCTACTTAACTTCAAGTGAAGGTGGTGTAGACCCTCCTCCTACCATAGGTCAGATGTTCTATTCCCAATATTGCTTGGTTTTGAAATGGAGTTTACTGGTCGTTTATTGTCTGTCACACACTAGCCACTCTATGCCTTGGATCATACCCATTTTAGATTTCTCCACATTCTTGTCTGTAGGTTGTTCTTCAACAGTCTTTCTTCTGTGGAATTGAGATTCTGGTATACTGTGGTTCGGATTACAACCCATCCAGTTTTTCTCCAATTTTTGGTTGTGCACCTCTGACTTGCTGCCTGTATATGTGACACTTCCATACACACTGGCTGCAGAGTATACCTGGTACAGAAGTGGTGCTGTCTCCCACGTGTGTTACTCTCTCGACAGGGATTACACTTCAGGGGTGTTTTTCAGAAGCTTTCTTTGTATCCCTCACACCAGTCCCTCTGTATATTCAATGTGGGATTTTAGCTATACATGTGAGAAGAGGTGATGTACCATATTGAAAGTTATTATTTTCCTGTACTGAAATTTATTTCTGATAGGTGCTTACCTCTTTTCACACTTCCCATCCTTCCTCCCCACTGAAAAACAATGCTTCCTTTTCTCGAAGTGATAATTTGGTAGAATCAAATGAAGGGAGTCACATGCACACTCCTATTGATGGAGGTTACTGCATGATGATTTACATGCGAGATGCAGTTGAACCACATTGATGGGGGGTATGTGGAAGTTCAAGGCTTGTGGCATGCACAACAAATTTTGCATATAGAGGACATCACTAAACGAGCTAAACATGTGACAGGAGGAAAGTACCTATCAGAAATATATTTTTAGTATTGGCAAATAATAACATTTCTTACTAATTGAGTAAAAAAAAAATGAAGTAACAAAACTGGGCTCAGAATGTAGTAGAAAATACACAGTCTTAATTCAGACATTAAACACATTCTGTGTATGTGTTTGTGTTTGCTTGAATAAACACGACAGACTGTCACTCTAGCTGGATATTTTCAGTGCTTGACTCTTCAGGATCCAGTTCCAGACTAGACTATAATGTTTTAGCATGCAAGAAACCTTGTATTTACCCAAAGCAACCAGTCTCCTGACATGACTGGTCATTCTCATTATAATACAGATGGGGCCATAATCTCTAGATATCTCCTGAACAACCATTAAAGGGCACTACTGTTGACATTCATACATGATATGCAAAATTGCACAGTATTCTTCTCAGGCAGAACAGGTATTATCAATTTTGAGAACAAACAAAGGTATCTTTAAATAAGATCAACTTAATGCCTGTCTTGACTATGTGTTATGTGAAACCTGTACATGTACAAATTATTGAATAAGTTCAGAATAAATATAATATTACAAGATGATAGAAATCTATGGTACACTTATGTAACACACATTCACTATTAATACTGTGATATGTGGAACATACATAAATCCTGTCCGGATTACTTTTTTTCTAGAAAAGTTGGGTCATGATGTTTTATTTTATTTTAATTGCTGAAATTCTAACATATCACAAAATTAGTTTACTTGGAATGTACAATCCTGAATTTTGATATAAAAAGCCATTTTTCATGACCACCGGTTATCTTGTTTTCCTTATTATAACCAGCAGATAAGCCTGACCCTTGCCCTGTCCAAGAATGGAAGACACATTAATTTTGGCAACCTATCTGAATCACCTTTGAGCTTCCACAGTGGATAGTAAAGCAATTCAAATTTGGTAAGTTGCTGTTGACCTAAACCTACACTGCCTCTGGAAATAGGATGCCCTCGGGAAACCATGGCCACAGTCAGTGGAGTTGTTTCTTCAACCTTCTCCTCAGACCTGCCACCAGCAACAAATACAATACCATTGGCATCAAGACATCAGCAGGCAGAAGGCAAGAAAAGATGCACTATTGCCTTGTGAAGATATATTCCAGTACTATGGAAATGGAATGAAGCATGGTATGTAAGAGACGTCTGTAAGATTTGTAATTCCCAACTCTACCTTCCTAGACCTATGAAGGCAAAGAAGAAATAGGAAACATCACGTTAATGTCCCCCAAAAGAGACTATGACCAAACTGGAGCCCTTCTATCAAAATTCCCAAAGGTGATCCCAGTGCCCTTGGATATGTTGAGTGTAGATTGGTGATAATATCACTGCAAAGTGGATGGAAGCTTAGGCCTTACCACAGTGAGCAAGTGACCATATTAGAGGTCGGACTTGGCTGAATGGCAGTGGCTTTGTACTGAAATTGACAGTTGGCTGAAGAGAACCATTGTCTTCCAGAAGATCAGTGCTGAAAGGCATCATTCTGTAGAGGACCTCAATGGTCTCCTGTCATCTCTCTAGAACTGCAATGTAAATATTGCATATACATATATGTATGTGACTGCTCCTTATGTAAGTTGTAAGTTGATACTTGGTTGAGTTTTTATTTATTTATTTTACATAATATTTTCAGTTAATTTTGTGTAACTTAAGAATGATCATTAGTTCATTTTTTAAATGAATGCCTCATTGTGTTTTTCAATGTTCTTCCACTTGTGATTTTATTTGACTGTAATTTTCTATCATTATTTCTATTCAGTGTTTTTTCAAGTATTTTCTGTAGTTTTGTATCATTTTTAGTTGATTTCCACTATAGGTTTGCTAAGTTTGCAAAATTTTATGTTTCATTTTAGTTCAGTATTGTTTTGTGGTATTAATGTAAATATGTAATATGTTTAAACTGTAATTTTATGTATTTGAGTTTCAGTTTTATATATATATTTTCACTTATATCTTTTCTTTATTTGTAACATATTTCTTTACTTAATTGCCTTATTTCCTGTGATATCTTTATTTATGTAATTATTTTTTATTCAATTTAACTGTATATTTAGTTCAGTTAATTATTTAGTTTTTGTTTGTTTTATATTTCTTTATTGTGCTGTATTTTACAAGAATATAAATGCCTTTTCTTTTTTGTTTTATTTCTGTTATGTAATTTAATTTTGTTTTATTTAATTTCTGATGTTATTTTAAGTTGTAATTTTGGTTTATGTAATTTAATTTTGAGTTTTGTTTGTGGTTTTTGTTGCTATTGGAGTCTTATTTTTAATGAAGTTCTATTTGTAATTGTAGTGTAACTGTCATGACTTCATGCATGTAGTTTGAGTGATTACTATAAACTTTTTCAGGGTAAATTAACAATAATTCATTATTTTTTAACAACTGATCTTAAGATTCAAGTCTAGGAAGACCCTGATGTAAGAAAAGAGAGAATATGTTAAGTAGAAATATATTTTAACCTTTCCCTAAATAATGAAGAATTTATTGTTATTGAGATAAAATTTCATGTTTCATTTTTTAATTTTTGTACAAAGTTTCTGTCTGTAGTTATGACAACCCATCTTTATAAACTAGATGTGAGAAAGTTATATACTTCTGCTATTTCTTGAGACAAAGGTTACATATTACAATCATTCTATAAAGTTTATACATGCTTGGCCCTGCTTCTCTGTCTATTCACCTCAAGTGAGGTCATACTCATTTCAAGGGATGATCAGACTTGTACAAGTAAATATTAGTTAGGGGTTTATTTTTTTTGAATATATGTTTTGGAAATGACTATTGACATATGTAATCTAAGGATTGTAGGGTACTGCATTAAGAATTGTCTTACTTAAATGTATGGTATCTTTTTTTTTTCATCTTTGACTTCTGTAAGTGTGATTATTCTTAATCTCATCTCTTTTGTGCAGACCTCAACAGCTTGTTTAGTTAGAAAATTAGTAGTTGTAAAATAGTGACCAGTTACTGGAGTGTAAGATTCTCATGTTTATTTGTTCTACAATATTATATCAAAAGTTTTATTGATACATGTATGTTAATTTTAGACTGAATGTGTAAAATATGATTTTTCTTATTGTTTCAGAAAGAAAATGAATTCACCTGACTCTGTACAGGTTTTCAACAATTGAATGAAATAATGATGAGGGTAGTTTAACTGTAATGATGACTGACAGCGCCCAATCTTCTGTGGTGACTACCTCCTCTGGTGGAAGTTTGTTTATAGTGAGTGATGGAAACATGGCAAATTCAACTTTATTACATACCCCTCAGAGCTCAAGAGATGACAATTGTGAGGTTAACCAGGATGTTTCAAACAGCACCTCAAGTGAACAAGATGACACAGTTATAGATTCTCAGCCAGTTCATGATCAGATATCACCATCTGAAGTTGAATTAACAGGTCGTGAAAACAGTTTTATTAGAGGTAGAAACAGTGACAGCTTCTCAGTGGAAAGAAAAACTGTTCTATCTTCCCATGGCCGTATATCCACTATACCAGAGAAAAACCAAGATAGTGGCATAAGTGGTTGTGTGGAGGAGAAGACTTGTACACCACCAAACTCTGCTTTATATCTTCATGAAGATTTAAAGCCAAGTGACTTGTCCATGGCAAAGGAACACATGACAAAGCATGGTGGATTTGCAAAAAAAACAAACTTTTCTTTGGCAGTTCCTTCTAATAGCAGTGGATTACACGTGGAACATGAGGTAGATCCAACTAGTGCAGCTGGTTTGCAGCTGTCAGACTCACATGTTATGCCACCATCAAACAGAGTAAGCAGTAAAAATATTCAATTCATTAGAGATCATACACCAACCCTCAGTAACCTTCAGTCTCAAGGCTCATATGAAGTATCTGGGTTTATTGGAGTACCATCATCAGCATATTCGAATGGTTCTAAATTCCAGAGATTGCCCCCTGTTTCTACAATTATGCAGCCACGCTTAGCTTCATTGGTGAAAGGAGGTTTCAAGATACCTTCCCTTGAGTCAACTCACATAGCATCTTTTGTAGACTTGCCTCGAACTTCAGTTACTTCCAGCATTGACCTGTCTAATGCCCATGATCTTCAAAGTTCAGAAGCAGTGTGTCTTTCTACTATTAGTAGGCCTGAAGAACATATCATGGTGAACCCTATTTCTTTGGTAGCTAACAAATCTGAAGCTGAAGGGAATTTCTTTGGAGAATCTGTTGATTCATTTCAGTCTGGTTCTACTTCGTTATCTGAAGCAGGTGTTGTCTACTCAGCTAGTGCGTCTCGAGGTATGTCACATTCAGCACCTGTCATCATGTCACTACCAGATTTTTCAAAAATTCATGGTGGAAACCTACTGATATCAAGCATCAAAGATCATGTTGGCCATATATCATCTTCTGTTAACAAGTTTGCGAGAGCGAGCCATCGAGGACCTTTGTTCCTTGATGACGATGGTCATCCAATTGTTCTTCCATCAACTAGTCCCTTGCTGACACCATTGGATTTGGGGACAGCCACCTTAAGTATGGTTACTTCTCGAATTTCAACACAAACTGCTGGAAAAGGGATTGGCCAAATGAACACATCCCCTTCCTATAACAAAATAGCATGCTCTAGACCAACATTAGGTGTCCCTACTGGTGTAATCACTGCAGTGGGATCAAGTCATTCTATCACTCCAGCTGCATCTTATGTAACTACAGGTGTTCAAGAACATCCCTCTTTAATCACACAAGTGGAAAATGTTCATATGTCAAACACTTCACCTAAAAATGGATCTGTTCTAGATGGACAAGATCTGTCAGGAGTTCTTGGTAGGAGTGAGTCTGAAGATGATGATGCTGATATTTCTGAAGCTTCTAATATTACCACAAGTTCCGCATTGGATAACATATCCACGTCTGCTTTGCCATCTATATTATCTAGTCTTGCTTCACAATCTTCTTATTTGTTATCTAGCCTTGTTTCTTCAACTTCTTCAAGCCCTTTGACACTTGCTAAGACAGCACTATCAAGTATTCCAACAACAGCTGGTGTTCCATTGATTCATGGAATGCAACCTAGTTTAGCAGGTTCACATATACCTTATGTTTCACCATTTTTATTATCTGGGATTCTCCCTACCTCACTTTCTGGATCTTCTGTGAAACAGGAACCACAGGAAGGAACAGCTGTATCAGCTGTTACTTCAACTAATAGTCTCTCAACCTTACCAAGCTTAGTTTCTATTCTTAAACAGGAAGCTCCTCTAACTGGAAATATTAATGATTCCGGACCTTTGCCACCATTTACTGTTGTTTCAGGTTTGTCGTCCTTATCTAAAAGGGGCCTTGCTGGCTTTGATTCAGCACAAGTGAACTTCCCTAGTTCTGTCAGTCACTTTGGAGAAATTTCTGTAAAAGAAGAACCAACTGATAATGTAGAAACTTCTCCATCTGAGAGTCTTTCTGCATCCCAATCTCCAGTTTTACAGAATACTTCTAATATTTCCGAAATTTCTCGTTTGACCACAGAGCCACTTGCAATGATTAGTACCAATGTCCAAAGAAATCTTTCCTCACCTGCTATGACACATACAACCATTGTGCCTTCTTCCAACATAACGTCTGGTTTTGGTTGCACAGCTACTGCAACTTCAAGAACCACTCCAACAAATGTTGTTGAAATGGCGTCTACTTCTTTGATTGGAGTTAGTTCTGGAAGAAAAGCCATAATTGTGGATAAAAATGTCTGTCAAATTTGCAGAGCTGGCAAGCCATGTAACTTGCATCACTCCCAGCCCCGCAGTGTATCACATCAGTTGGTGTCAGGACCACTTCTCTCTGGTGATCCAACAAAACCGTTCCAGTGTAACTTGTGTGGGAAACACTTAGCATCAAAAAATGTTTATCAATTACATATGCGTTCACATTCTGGAGAAAAACCTTTCACTTGCAACCTTTGTGGTCATCATTTTTCTCAAAAAACCTCACTTACAAGACATATGCGTTCTCACACTGGGGAACGCCCCTTTCCTTGCGAAGTATGTGGGAAACGTTTTGCTGACAAAGAACGTACAAAAATACATATGCGTACTCACACAGGAGAAAAGCCATTTTCTTGTGAAATATGTGGAAAGTGCTTCTCACAGAAGTCTACAGTGAAAAGACACATGAGTGTTCATACTGGTGAAAAGCCTTTCACTTGTGAAACATGTGGAAAAGGTTTTGCTAATAGAGGTAACTTAAATGCTCATAGCAAAACACATGCTAATAGTGTGAATACATAACTATCACACTATTATAGTAAAATAATGCATTAAATGTGGATGCATCCCTCTGTTTGAGGGTTCCATATATGTCCTTAAGCACCTTTTAAATTACTTTTCATGTTATTATTGAAAGCACCCAATGATTTTTGTTCTTTGAGAATGAACTAGAATGCAAATTCAACTTGACTACTAATCAAGTCTTTATATAAAAAAAATGGAACTATTAGACCTTTTATTTCCTTTGTAAAGTATGAAGTACAAATCTTATGGTTTAATGCAATAGGTAATATTTGGAAATGGAAGTATATTTAACTAAGATTTTAAACAAAAATTTACTGTTTTGTATTATGTATTTTTTAAATAGAAGAATATGGTTAATGATTGAAAAACCATTATGCAAAACAAATTATCCCATGTCCTGAACTATGTTTGCAAGTATTTGTTGGATGAATTTTGTTAGAGAAAACCAGTGAAATTTAAAATGCATTTTGAAAGAAAATATAGACCTATATTGAAAATTGTAAATGAAAGTAATATTATTTTGACATTACAGCATGTTTGCTAGTTATTTACTATGTAGTAATAAATATACCTTGTTATGTATCATGCAGAGTCTATACATTTTATTTGATAGAGACTAAAGTCTTGCATATATTATAGACTATTTAAATTCATATAATAAATTTATTACTTTTTATACTTCCATACTATCTTTACTTTTTTTACGATTGTTTTTATCTTTGTCACCTGCCATTCCATGCATATATTTTTATTTAAATGTAATGTCTTAAGTGTAGAATGTGCAGTTTTAATTTTGATGGAAAGGTACTAAATTTGAAGCATATAATATCTCGGTTGTTGTTTATTGTATGTATGTATCTATGTATGAGTGAGTGTCTCAACCACTGAAAAGAAAAGTTGTATCAAGCACTTTGCACGCCTTTGTTTTTGAGTCTGAAGTGTTTTAGACCATGTTGATACATTAGAGTCATAGAATACTTGCTCTGTTATTAGGGAATAACTTTGCATTTTCTTTGAAAAAAACTTTTTCAAAATTTTTATACTCCTACAACAAAAAACAAATAAAAAAACATGATAATTTCTGCAGGCTTACATGTAGCTATTATAACATGTTTCACATCATACAGTGTTTCAAGTCTATAAACATGATAAGATGCAACAGGTGCTTTTTGTCAAATGAAAGTGTTCTGGACAAATCCTTACAGTGACAACTAAACTGGAATGCTAAACTACAATTGGATTGTTGAAGTATTTTAATTATTAGTTGAAAATTTATCACCGTAATAATTTTTCAGAACCTGTGTTGTACTGTGAAGTTAATTGTATGCATAGATTATATTTAGAAATGGTGTGAAGTATTTTCATCAGTGTGTGTGTTTTATATAAAAAAGGGATCTCTAGTACAGGGAGTTACCAAGTGATTATTCATTTAAAAACAAAAAAGACAACATATTGTTAAAAACTGCAAATTATTTATTTTGAAATAATGTTTCATAACATTGAATAATTTTGTCATGCTTCCTACTGGGAAAACGAGACAAAATTAAGAAGTTTCAACTCAAACAGCCATAAAACCTTATTTTGTTTCCTATGTCCTCCAGTGGATCATCAGTAAGTTTACAAATTTACAACACTAAAAAATTCGGGTTTGAATTTTCGAGTTGGACAGAGTGCAGATAGTTTCCTATTCTTCTTAACAAGTAAACACTATCTTTGTTAATTCTAAAATGAATATCTGTTTAATTCACAATATTTAATTTCCTTAGTATTTTTGAGTTAAAAGTTTATACCTCTTTGATAATTTGATTATTCTTAATATAAAGTGTTGTTGATTTGATTCAAAAACATTTTTAATCTTGAAAAATTTCATTAATTTGTAACTTTATCAAAACAAACAAAGATCAAGGCATATTTTATTATACATTAAATATACACATGCACATATATATGATATAAGTTTATTTGTTTGTTGTTTTCTTGTTAGTGAATGGTGTGTGCATCACAAGATTATTTAACCATTGGTAGTTGTAAAATTCCTGGCCAACATTTATTGGTGAATATCACTTCTCTAATTTACAATCTCAGTTTCTCTGCTTATCAGCTAGAAGAGAAATATTTAGTTTTCTGTTGAATTTTCATATTTGAAATATTCATTTTAAATTTTACTGTAAATCTTACTTTGCTCATATAAAAACTATGAAAATTTTACATCAGGCCTGCCAATAAGATTGAACAGGTTTTAGATGATTACCACCAATGAGTAGTGTTTTCTGATACAATATCTTATCTCCATTCACCTAATAGTTTTTCTCATTTTATTCTGGCCTCTATATGAGCAATTTTCACTCACCACTAGCCAGGATGCTACCACCTACCCTTATGTGTTTATACGTGGTATAGCTGCACTGTAGCATGCAAATAAGCATGTGACAACCCTCCACCAATAGGAGTGCAACACACCCTCATAGTGTAGCTGACTCCCTCTGTACTATAGAATATTATCATCATTTCCCGATTTGGCATTCACGAGTGCAGTCATATAAAATAATTGCTCAGAACATTGCATTTTTGTGTTCACTTTAACTTCCTGCTATCCTTTTGGCAACTTTCAGTTTGTTGTCATTTATGTTTTAGAAGAAAGTTTTTCTTTTTCTGCATAATGAACTCTCATTTTCATGTAACAACTATGACTTCTGGTATGGATCCTACCACATTTAACACTACTGTGACTCCGGGATCCATACTTTCTGTGGAGGTATCAGCTTCATTGTTCCAGAAGTTGGAGTCTGGCCTGTTATGTCTCCTATGCCATGGTTGGATCTCCCATTTCCTGGGGAATTTGTTCCTGAGGATGAAGATTTGTACAGCCTCCCCCCCCTCCTACTTTTGCAGCTCCTTTCCAGACTACCACACTGGATCTCCCTCATCCTTTCTGGACATGATCTCTCAGGTTTGTTACCTTTGGTTTCTTTCCCCTGTTTTGTATTATTTTCCCCTCTATCCTTCAGTCTGTCCAAATGTCCAATTATTTTATTTTCTCCTCTTCAGTGGGTAGCTCGTTTGTGGTGGCTTGTCAAACTAGAGAAGTTCTATCTCACCCTCACTCATTATCTTATTCATCTAGGGGTGTTTTTCAACTCCTACTTCAACAGACCTCAGGTTTCTCCTCTACATTTGAAGGATATGGAACACTTGGTATCCAAAGCCAGGACTATTTCTATTCCTGTGTATGAGGTTCTCTCTTTTAGGGACCTGGACTTCCATGGAATCACTTGTCACTTGGGGTTGTGTACACATGCATTGTCTTTAGTGGGTGTTGCACAATCAATGAAACCTTGCTCTGGATCCCTTGGATTTCTCTATTTTTATTCTTTCAACCCTCCAAGTTAACTTTACCTGGTGGGTCGAAAGAGAAAACACCTCAGCTGGCATTCCTTTTCCCCTCTTCATTTCAATTTCCATCTCCACACAGATGCATCTCTGACTTGTATTCTCAGGAGATAGCCACTTGTTGGTTGGCAGTTGAATCTAATCAACATATCAACCTTTTGGAGCCCCTGCCTGTGGTACGGGGGCACTTGGTCATGATCCATTCCAATAATTCAACCATTGTCTCTTATACCAATCATCAATGGGGCACCTGGTATTGTTCACATTGTTTTCAAACACTGGAATCTCCTTTTCTGGGCCCAATATCAACAAGTCCAATTTCTTCTTTGTTACATCCTGGATTCTCTGAATCTTGTAGCAGGTTGGCTCTCTCATCCCAACAAGTTTCTACTGATGGAGGTGACTCTTGTTCCTCGGGTATTCCAGTGGTTATGCTCCTAGCTGAGTGTTTCCCTTTTGGATACTTTTGCCACCCACATCATTACAAAATTTCCTCTTCTGGTCTATTGTTTCACAACCTTCAACTCTAGCTGTTAATTCATTCAGTCAACTCTTTACCTGAATGCCTATCCTCCTATCCATCTTCTTCCTCATGTCTTTTCTCTTATTCAAACCACTGTACGTCAAGTCCTTCTCATCACTCCATTCTGGCCAGCATGACTGTGGTTTCCACTTTTGAAGTTCCTTCAGTCGTTTCCTCCATGCCCCTTCCTCTTTCCCAATCCCTTATCCAGCAACCTCAATCCTCTATCATTCATCCAGCCATAGCCACACTTCATGTGTGAGTTTTGTCCAGACCCTTGTGAAGTGATCCAGACTCTCTGCAAAAATAGGCTTCTTTTTTTCTCATTCTGTCCACTATTTGTCTTTACTGGTTTACTAGCATAAAATAGTGCATTTTTTGTCACTAATCTTTGCATCACAACTTCTCACCTTTTTTACTTGGCTCTTTTGACAATGGTTTATTCACTTCCACCAATACTTTTTGGTCTCCCACCTCTGCCATGTTTCTTCCCTCTCACTTTTTTTTCTGTTTTGTTTTGTTCCTTTTGCCTTCTTCATCCTCTCCATCCAGTTGCCCTACCAGATTGGAATCTCAATGTTGTCCTTCATGCCCTTACGCTTTTCCCCTTTAGCTTCTTGCTTTATGTATCATCTCTCCTTTAAGACATTTTTTACTCATATGTATGAGTAAACATATTCATATATGAGTAAACATTCATATGTTCTCTTTTATCCCAACTGTAATTTTTACCAAAAATGGTGGCGTGTGAAGGGGACAGCACAATCACACCTATTGTTATGTCACCTACACTGTTTTTTATGCTCCCTTTCACATCTTTTTATCCTTTGGAACTCATCCTCTACCTGGAATCTTTTGCCTGTAACCCTTAGCAGTTTGCTTTGTCAACTACGCATCATTGACCAAGGATTCTTGTCACATCTTCCAAGTTTCCTCTCATAAGATCCATCATCTCATCATTTTTCCTGGCTGCTCACTTCTGTCATCCATTAGAAAAACCGTGCAGACTGGCATGTGGACTACACCTGACACTTGTGTCCCACATTATATGCAATCATGTGGCTGTCTCTACCTCATCTGTCTATCACTTACTGTCTGTTGCCATTCTCCATAACTTGTATAGGTTCTGATTGGGTAAGTTCTCACTTTTCTGTCTTTTACTTTTACAGTGGTCTCTTTCTACATTCCTGGATCCCACCCTGTGGCACCCAGGTATACTCGACTGTAAATCCACACCATACAACGTTACTTGTCCTAGTTGAATATAATGGGATTGGCCTGCTTTTCAAAATAGGGTTTTCGTGGTCACCCATTACACTATCTTATGGTGTTGCATTCCTCCAGACTCATCATCGCATGGTTCCCCCTCTTCTAGTGGAGTATGAAAGTTTTGGACTGGATGAATCCACCACATGCAGTTTACCCTTCTGGCTAGCTTTCTTCTATCCTACTGCTATCTTTGTGTTGGATTCCAGGCAGTCTGGTGTTAGATTGGCATAGGACCAGCCAACATGTTGTTGGTAGGGCCCTCCTCCAACCGTGGACCAGATGAAAAATTCCTGATGCTTCCTAAGTATTGGACTAGAGATGACCCACCACATTTGATTCCCCCTTCGTACCATTGCCTGGATGTTGGGTTTCCCTGCCTGGGTTGTTGGAATGGATGTTGCTTTTTTTCTTTCTGCTTTTTGAGATAGAAGTGAAGACAGTTGGGACCCTCCTCTTACCATAGACTGGAAGACAAATACCCGATGCTGCTAGGTTTTGGACTAGAGTTGACCAACAGTATAGTCTGACATGTCCTAATCAGTCTACACTATTTGACACATCCAATTACAGATTGAATGAGCATCTTTTCCACCTTATTTAGTGACACATATGTAAAACAGATGAAGGGTATACCTGGTACAGATGAGGTGTGATCCTATACATTAGGGTATCACACTCCATATATTCTTTTTTGGGCAGCTTCTGAAGAGTGCTCATCTAGGTAACTTTTGCACCAGTCCCCCCACCATTTCAGTGTGGGATTCTAGCTATTATATGAAAGGAGGCAAGGTATCATATTGCAAGTTAACATTTTCCTAGAATGAAAATCTATTTCTGATAAATACATCTACTCACACTTCCCATTTCCGATGTAATAATATTACTTTACAGTATAAAGGGATTCACAGTGTGTAGCACTCCTATTGGTGGAGGGTTGTCACATGTTCATTTGCATGCTATAGTGCAGCTATACCATGTGAAAATCTGAAGGTAGCTGGAAGCATCAGGGCTAGTGATAAGCAAAAATTGCACACATAAAGGGCAGCACAAATCAAGGAAAGCTATTATGTGAACAGAAGTAAGTATCTATCAGAAATACATTTTCAATGTAGAAAAATGTTAACTATTGTTTGTTTTTTTTCTTCTCCCAGTGTCTAATACAAACATCAGTAGGGATTCTTTCATTTTCATATAATATTTGGTTATTTATTTATCTAGTTTCAAACACTTTAGAATGACTAAATTTGCCAATAAGGTACAATAGTGTTAATACATGGAAAGTAGAACTTTGTTATATAATAGTTCAGCACACATTTTTGTTAAAAATGTTGCTGGATTTTAACAAAATCATAGTACTATTACTTACCGAAGGAAGCTTTAGTAATGATGTTCTATTTCGATTTTAGGCTAACATTATTCTGTAAATGCTCTTAATATTTGAAAGGATATGATAGAACTTCAATGTATGTAGTTTTATTTAATGAACATCAAAAAAATGCTCTGAATCCATATATAAAAATGCAGAAGATATTCCATGTACATTATATGGTCAAAAGTGTTTGTTCATCCATGTGTTGATTGTGTTCAGGATATAGACT